CTTGTTTTTATAATTTAATTAATTGGAATAAAAACAAAATCGTTTCATTCAAAAAAATTAGATTTAATTAAATAATAGTTGTATTTAGCTTTAAAAAAATTTATTAGATATTTTTAAATCATATTTAATTTATGCAATTAAAGTTTAAAATCAAGCAAAGTTGGATGGCATTTGTAGATTAACAATTGGTTTATACATTAAATTTATTTTTTAAAAATATATAAAATTTTGTTGCTGAAAAGTTGATTTATAAAAATATTTTTATTATTTATAGATAATCTGTTATTGAGATTTTCTATTATAAACTATACTTGCAGTGTTTGTAAAAAAAATTAAAAAAATCTGACAAAAAAAAGTTTTGTGGGGGATTACAGCCTTCTATTTTCACACATAATATCTATGGTATGTTTGAGTTACTGCAAAAAGCTTTGCTTTTCCTTGAAAAAATCTACCTTAGGAGCTTTAAGGCGCAATTTTATATAGATTGGATAAATTATTCAGTATAAAAAGATAATATAATTGGAGTAAGCCAGTGCTATAAAGCTTCAATATGACTGGCTTGAACATTCGGGTAGCTATTCATGTAAAGTTTTTCTTATTGTTAAATGTGCGTTTATTAAGTACTAATAATAAGATTTCTGATAGAGTAATTTTTTTTATAAGGGGCATCCTCTAAATAAACACAAATAATAATGTTTTTAGTATAATTTATTTGTAACATATCTATAGCACAAAATCTTTTTTGAATATTGAGTATAATTTAATTGCCTTTATAGGCCAAAGTTTAAGAATTCGGAATATTTATTAAGTATATCCAAAAATCAAATATACATTCAGTTATTATGAATATTAACTTTTGATTCTAAGAACAGTCCTAAAATTTTAGTTAGTAAATATAAAATATTTCCTATAATCCTTTTACGGCATTAACCTATTTGAAAAAAAAGAGTGTATTTTGCATATTATCATTTAATTTCTCAGATGTTAAAATCACGTATATTATTTTTTTAAATAATAAATCTTTACATTTTACTCGAGTAAATATAATATTATTTTTAAAATAAATCTACTAATTATTTATAAAAAATATGCGATAATTTATTATTATTTAAAAAGTGTAATCGTATTTAAAGGTCACTTCTATAATCATAGTTTACTAGACTAAAATTTATTATTATTTCCAAGTACTTTGTAAAATTGGCCATTTTAATTAACTTCAAAGATAGTTAATAAGTAATATTAAGATGTATGCATAACTATTTAAATCTGAATAATTTAACATTACGAGTCAATTATAATAATATATTTTCCTTCAAATATTATATATAGTTTATGGAATCAAGATTGGATTAATGTATAAAGATTATAACCAACACGTGTACACTTTAATATTTCCATTAACGATCTTACGCTTAATTTTTATAAAAGTAACTTTAATTGTGGTTAATTAGAGCAGTGCTAGCGTTTGTCAGATACATTCAGCTTAAATATATTTAAAAAAAATACATACAAATTTGGCCTAATCTAAACGATACGATTCTAAGAAACTTTATGAGAAAAAGTGCATATCAAAAAAATAAATGCTTCAGTTTTTTAGTAGATGATATTCAATTGTTTTACCGCCTATTTACATATTACACAAGATTATTTTCACTTTAATTAGATTTATATAAGCTTTTGGCTAATTTTAATAGATAGGGTTGATAATAGTTATTCGCGGAAAAAACTATCGATGTTTGATGTAATCGAGCTAAAGCGTCAAACTAGCGTACCAGTTTTAGATTAAATTTACAAATTATATAATTATTAAACAAAGTAAAAAAAAAAATTTGATTGAATAAAGTATAATAGTTAAAAGTAATTATAATAATATTTTTATCGATGTAATTGCAAGAAACATTATAATTAATTTTTTTACATTTTTAAATACTAGCATTAACAAAATGCTATAAATCATAATTATCTGATTGTAAAAAAATTAAGAGGCAAAACGAGTTTTTTTAAGGCGTTAGAATTGTATTTGTGTATGCTTAAAACAGATAAATTGAAATTTATATTGGTACTTTTGGATATATAATTAAAAAAACATCAACAAATATGAGATATTGCGCACAATTAAAACATAAATGTTAAATGTAGTTGAAAAGCAAATAAAATCACGAGTAATTTTTTATAGTTATATTAAACCAAATGCTAATAATACGATTATTTTTATTTGATAAGACTTCCA